ATATACGAAACTTAGCCAGCGCATGGCTGGTATGAGTTTAACTTGATAGTTTACATTTTTATAGCACACATAAATAATTCGAATTATTGACCTGATTGATCTTTTTATGTTTTATGGTAACAATTTTTTCTATTTTAATTATTTATAATGATTTCATGGATGAATGTCAATTTTTGAAAGGTTTCCGATTATATTTGTATTTGATAGCAGTAGCTATACAGATAACAAAACAGAATCATTTCCATCGATAGATTGGGAAACGCTGTAGTAATAAATCCTTATCGGCTGGGACATATAAAAAACTTTGTTCGCTTCCACTGGGTTAACAATTTAATATTCTTATTATTACTTTAAGTACAGACGAGTAACAAATTGCAAATATTGTTTGTTTATTGCAAATACTATTTAGACACAAGACTATTATGTATTTGGATATTTTTCCATTTTAATTTACATAAAATAAAATGCTGTCCAAAATGTCATAAAATCCTATTGTATTTGATGAATTAAAAATAGGCATAGCTAAAGTTATAATGTTGTTGTGAAACACTAGATAATCTATGTAAAGCTACATGAGTATAATCAAGAAATACAAAATCATAATAGTCCTGAGCAATTTAGCTCAAATATTGAATTTTTAGGCAGTATATACATAAGGATTCATTTACTAATTTACTTCACATGCGTCGAAACACGCTATTTGTAATAATTGGGTACTTTTTATGTGTTTTACACAATTAATGATGATTTAAGTTCCCTTATTAAATATTGAAATGAATATTACATTTATGCTTCTCACTGTACTCTTAACAGTCCGGCGTGTTATCAGTTATTTACACAGGGAATGAACTCGCGATAAGACTTTCGAATACCTAGAGAGCAACCTGCGGTTCTCAAACTATGTATAAATAAAAAGCATATAAAAATATGAAATCAGCAAAGGAAAGATAATTAATGAGAATAAATAAATAACTTAACTCTTATAAAATTCTTCTATTCTTGTTAAGCACCTTAATAAAATAAAAAAAAACGTTTTTTTATAAAAATCGTTTTAACTTTATTAATAACAAATTCCTTCGAATAGTAATATGCTTATTCGTCCTTGGGTTTGACCCGCCTAATGCCTTGTTATAGTTGTTATTATTATGTTTTATTAAATGAACATCTAAAGTTCAATATAGAAAAAAGAAGCTAAGTATACATTACATTTTGTATTACTAGAATAACTTAGAAATAGAAAATGGTAATTTAAATTCTCGACTATATCATAATTAATTTTTTTATAGAATTATAAAATGCAACCGCTCTATGGTATTCTGTATTCTAAAGTCGTCACATGGCGCGTCGTAGAGCGAATGTATTGTGTACCACGAACAACGAATTTGATATATCTCTTATAATTGTTATTTCGGGTTTCAAATCATATAGTAATTTAAATACTTAACTATTTATGTATAACTTTCATTTTATATAGAGTACAGGAACAAGTCATTTTATACAGATAACTTAAGAAATAATGAATACCAGTAAGTATGCAGAATTATCCCGTGTATGCAGACAGACATACATTTAAAAATAAACTTATAGTAATATATGTTAAAAATATTTTTAATGTTACTGTTTACCGTATGAAAATTAGTTTCATAAACAATCACATGACCCCAATTAAAATGTAACTGACAATCGTGACCGTTACAATGATTAAATATTTAATCACCTGATTTCAAGAAAGAAGGTATGTACTTATCATCAATCGATTTATTTATAATTTTTAATTATTTGATAAATCGGATAAAAACTGGAATCCGTGGAAATACATAATTATTATCATACCAGCATTTTTTTTATTCTTGGATGTTATAGTAATAATACCAAAAGTAACACTTTTTTTAGTGCTTTCTCATAGCGTTTGTATTCTTTTTAAAAGTTATTAATGCATATTTAGTTAAAGAAACTACACCAAAATTACATTTTAACTACCAAAATATTCCATTCAATAGAAGAAACATTAATTTGCAAATCTAATTTAAAATTATTATTATTAATAATAAATACAAAGTCCAAGTTCATTTGGTTGAACTATAAAAATCCCATAGCGTACAACAAAATTACACTTCTGTCGCTACAAGCGACAACCGACGCTATGACAACGGATTAAAGTCGATTTGGACTCTCCACTTCTGTGTAGGTATTGTCGTTTGGCTCAAGAATAATTTGTGCTTTGTCATAAATACTCTGTGGGATCTTAAATATGAATTTAGTTTTTGTGATTTACGTAAAATATTTATAATTATATACTTAACCAATGATATTTAAACCACTTAAAAAAAAAGAAAACGAAATCACGAAATCATTGTTTGAATCGGCTATGAAATAAAATTTGGAGGAAATAACAATCCATTGCAGAGTTTGTTGCTTATCAATACAACGTCTTTTAAAGGTCTACACAGTCGATTTGTAATCCAATGCCATTGTTTTTCGATTTATGTGCTTGTAGCCTAGACAACAAAGAGATTTACCAGAATATACCATTTTTTTTAAATCGCTCACTCTTTATATTTATACCACGATCTACCAGTAATTTCATCCATGAAAATAGTTGGCGTTACCAAATAGGGATTAGAAAGAGACGGACGTCGAAACGCTTGCGTGCGAGTGCGATAGCAATACGCACTTCGCACCGTTCTCAATTTTTGAGGTTTCCGTCTCTAAGCACCGTTTTAGAGTTCCGTAATATAATTTAAATAAAATAATAATTATAATTTATTAAGTGTCTTAAAAATTTTATTTCAATGTTATAGTGAATTCTTTATTTTTATCTTGAGACTTAAACGAGAAAAAAAATATGTAACTAAAATCTATGTTATATTCTATTATATCGCTTACATTCATTTATGATAATGTTATTTAGGGTGGATAGGATTCCCATTAGATGCAAACAAACGGCAAATAAAATCTTTCGTATGAATACTTATTTTATTGTAATATATTTCTCTAGTCTAGTTATGCATTGAAATTTTACACTAAATAAAATATTTAATTCAAACCATTATTATTATTTATAGAAAGCGTTTCAATAATAACTGGGTATCCTATACGGAACTCTTGACGGAGCGCTTTCAATATTTCGTTTTTAAAGTTCGTAAGAGCGGTATTAATAATAGATAGAGTAAGTGTCAACTAACAATGCTGTATTGTATTTAAGTTATTCTAAAGTAATAGTGGTTACTTTTAATTTTGTATGAAGACTAATTTATGTTCATTTGCAAAGTGTAAATAAATGTAGGTAAATATCAAAATAAATTAAAAAAACAGTCTATTCTACACATGCATATGCAATTACATATGTACATATGTATTGTAATTTAACATTGATCATAAATGTAATTTAACCTTTTTATACGGTTTCGATTTTTCTGACATTACATAGTTTAAAATGTCAATGTCGTTTTGATGTCAAATATTCTGTCACAACATTAACAGTCAATGTCGTTTTGATGTCAAATATTCTGCACTAACCAAAGAACGAGCCTGTCGGAAATTTGAAAAGGAATGTATAATTGTATATACTTGCTTAAATTATTTTTTAAATTATCTCAACATTGGAATAAGGCACTGTCTAGTCACAGACTAAATACAGATAGTATGATTGTATATTTACAAGCGTTACATCATCGCAATTATATAATAAGTAAATTTATTTGTATGTACTACAAAACATTTTACTGAAGTAATACCTCGTTTAAATGATACTTCATTTGTTATTTTGTACTTCAAAGCGTATTGGATTATACATAATTGATGATTATTTGAATGATACAATCAGTAATTTCTTTTTCTACTAGCAATAATATGAAATGCAGAGCTTGTTTAATAAAACTATTGAATAACAAATCACATTTAAAAAATAAGTTAAATTTGATATTATGATTTTATACGCTAAAATTCCAACTGGACTTAGAAATAAAATTGCATATAAACTATAGTTTTTATAATTTTTTAACCGAAATAATAATTTGCTTTTACATATTATTTTATTAAAATTCTATTGTGTCCGTGAGTAAATATATATGACCTTCCGATTTGGTCACCCTACTTCGTAACTCTGCGTTAAATGCGAAGTATTGAGATAGTTTCTTATCTTGCTGACATTTATTTGTATTCAAAATTACGTAATCATAATATACATATTTGTTTATTGGTAAGACTACGGACCGAAAGGTTTTTAATTCATTTCTATGCTAGTCGCCCTTTGGTAAGAATAGATAATCAACATTGGCGATAAAAAATGATTACTAAAGATCGTTAGCTATCATGTAAAAATGAAAAATGTAGTACTCTATTTCGTATCACGGTTCCTTCAGTTGAATGCAAAATTTTATAGAGCGCAAAAATCAAAGTAAAATATTTTTTTTTACAAATAGCATTAGCACATAGCGTGCTTTGTCTTAAAAATTGGCATGCTAATGAAGTTAATGAGAGTTAGCATTAATTTAAATTAGAACCAGTTTTAACAGTTCAATAATCTGCTATTTATAATAGTGTTTTTTTTTCATTTTTTAGGTTTTATCCCACTATAAAAATCATTCATTAACCCCACGATAAAATTCCTTAAAACAAGGTGGCCTGAGGGTCAATTCTACTAAATAAATTTTGTTTAAATCGAATCGAAAACGGATCGAATTAAACAAAATTTATTTAGTAGAATTGGCCCCCTGGTTTACGTTATGTTCAATAAGAAATATTCAACTTTACTTAACATTAGTGATAAGACTGATAAGATAAACCTGCCTAATAATTCTAGCCTGAGCTATCTTCCATATACAATAGCTATACTATTAATTCTAGCCTGAGCTATACAATAGCTATACTATTTTTTTAAATAAGGTAACTTTAAAATTTAGTTAAATAAGGTAACTTTTAAAATTAAGGTAAACAGGGCAACATTAAATAAAATTAAGGTAAACTATCTTAAATCAAATTCGATGAACTACGCTTACCTCGCCGTGCTGATTGCGTCCGTCAGGTGTGTTCTCTGGAAGGAAATACAGCCTGAGGCTGACGAGGGTCTGATCGGAGACACGGTCAGTCCAAAGCAGTTGCAGTTCACCTGACAAAAGAGTAACCACCGATGATGATCAATAAATATTTTGTGTAAGGGTTTTATGCTTGAAAAGCTCTATGACGTAGTGGATACAGCGTTCAGTTAATGATTGCGGATGTTAAGGAACTACCTTAAATGTCGGACATAGAAGGAGTGCTCTTAAAAAAATTTACTCGACGGTATTAAAAGCTTCTGCGGCTCGTTTCATCTAAGAAAGATTTAACTGTTTGTTTGTATTGAATATACACCGAAAAAAACTGCACCGATTTTAAAATTTCTTTCACCTATGGGAAGCTACATTATTTGCGTGTAACGTAGGCTTTAATTTACGCGGGCAAGCGGAAAACAGCTAGTATGTTTCGAACAAAATGACGCTTAGATCAATTACTTAGCCTTGTAACATTCGATGTAATCTCTTTTAGTGTATACTTAAAACTCAGATCCATATTAAAAACGTTACTACGTAAACAATTATGAAGCTGTTAAAAAAACACAACTCACCCACGGAGACCAGTTCAGAGTCCTGCCATATTCTTACGAAGAAAAAATCGCCTATGGCTACAATCTTTTCTTTTTCTCCTATCGTTAATCTGATGGCCTTGTAGAAAGTGTATTGGCCGTGTTGCCCACACGGAGAGCCAACAAGCTGTGAACAAGCAAAAAAATATATATATTTATGACAAAATCACCGTTATCAGTTAATTATTACCAGTGTGGAGACACTTTATAATTACGTTTTGATTATAACCTTTTCAAACTTATTCTCTAAACTGCATATCTCTTTCGAACCCAAGAATATCCTACGTGTCTTAGTGTCTTATCCAAAGAAATAAATTCATATATTTCTGTGGTACCATCACTTTATAATGTAATCATCACTGTGAAGACAGACAGATAATACGGTGATAAAATATATTTAACTGAAAAGACATTATGACGTCATTATTTTGTTAACATTTTCTTGATGCTATAAGTAGTTGTATACATTTAATACGATATGTTTAATATGATTGTATTAAATAGAAAACTTACAGCTTTCGGTTTGCGACGTTATTGGAACATGTGAGGGATCGAGATCCTTTTGAGAGCTACGAGGTGCATTTTAGGGAAGCAGCGACTCCTGGATGGAATAGCGCGTAGAAAAGACCAGTACAAAATGAGAAGAGAAGTTGAAGATTGAAAGATAAAAAAATACGGTTGCCTAACTGGTTTTTAATAGATTTTCGAGAGGTGTGACTGTGCTCGAACCTCACAGGCTTGGTTTGGTTTCAGGAACAGATGTCCGGCTTTTTTAATTTAGAGGCCGGTAACGCTAGGCATATATCTGCCTTATAGATATAAACAAATAGGGAGGAAAGCTATGCTAACAGGCACAAACTCAACGTCGAATGACAGCGGTGGTCAATGAAATAAAACTTTATTATCTCTTTGAATAGGTTTTATTTGATTAAACCTCTATGCTGTGACAGCGCTGTGCTCGAAATCGGATATAACGATGATTTTTATTACAGAATAGCACTGCAGATCCCACTACAAGGTCCCGTGCGAATGTGTTATGGTAGAATGTAAAATATAAAACGAGTACTAAAATACCGCTGATTCTGATTAAAATTAAATTGCTATCAAATAATTAATGACTTAATAAACCAATTAAAGTTTAACGTTGACACAGCTAAAACGTGACAATAACATTTTCTCGACTTGTCTCCTAATAATAGGTATATTATTTTACTGCAGTGATAAATATTTGAGTCACTTTGTAGCCAAGAGCTGACATGAGCAATTCTACAATAATCGTAATAGTTTGCCAATATATACTATATAATAATATTATAAAGAGGTAAGGTCTAACTTTGTTTGTTTGTAGGAGGTTGATCTTCAGAAATACTGATCCGATCATGGAAATCCTTTCATCTACGGGAAGCTACAGCCACAGCTACAACACGCGCGGGTGACATGTGGTATAATTTACGCAGACGAAGCCGCGGCCCGCGGGTAGAGTTAGTGATTAATTAAATATGATTTTAGTGCTTTGTACGATACCATGCAATTCGCCATCGATTTTATATCACTTGTGTTTTATTGACAGTCCTCGCATCGCAAATCCGTCTATTTTACTTAGTAATTATCAGGCGTTTCCCTATATGCAGAACAAACAAGCTAATTTTCATCATCGACTAGCCGGAAATTGAACTTGGGACTACGCGATAACCACGCGTAATCCGTCTTATCCACTCGACCACGGACGTCGCCAAAATAAACTTAAAACACGACAGAACAGTGCCATAAATACTGAAACGATTTAAAAAATCCAAGAAAAGTAAGTAGTCAGAACTCAAGATATCAGCGAACCATTACAACAGTGGCAAAAGGCGTGTCCCTATCTCTCTCATCAATATGCTCCATCTCACTCGCAGCCTGTATCAATTTTATACTTATTGATTCAGGAGTCTTGTGGAGTACCATCAGCATACAAAATTTTATTTAAAATTAAATAAATATTAAATTCCTCATTTTAATAGATACCCTTACAATCACCTACTGTGTGCAACTATTGTTCTTTTTATATTTTTGTCAATTTAAATGAAATTACATTTCAAACAAAAGGGTTTGTTTAGTATTGACTGTGCACTATAGCGACAGTCAGAAGTTTACGTCATCAGTACGCAAAACAATAACTCGAGTCCTTTATTGAGAAGAATAAAAATAAAGGGCTGTTAAGTACTTCATGCAGACATGTAAAAAATATTTCAAAAGGGTATGGACCATTGACTTTTATACAAAAAATCAAAAAGGGAGAGTGTGAATTTGTATGTATTGCGAATGGCAAACTTCGAATTAACGGTGTTTGAAAATACCGATGGAAATTCTTATTTGAATTTGCGCATTGGCGGAACATGGCACAGAAACAAGTTAAAAGATAAAACTACCTAATCAGGCTGGGCCACTTGCATGAATAATTAAAAATAATAATGACTTTCTTAATAATTAAATTTAATAATGTTTTTGCTAACCCTACTCCGCTCAAGTTAAGACATGATATCAAGAATAAAATTAATTAGATTTGTTTCGATGTTCGTTATTAAAATGGCGACCTATGTCCAGTTTTACACAGTTACACAAAACGATTTAGATTCTTAAACAAACAATTTGTTTTGCAGTTTTTTTAAGAGTATACCTATGTAATACTTTTAAACTTACTTTCGTTTGTGACTATTTTATCAGCTGGACTTCGGAATGTAATCTTTAGGGAACCTTTTAAGGGGTAAACTAAACATTAATTTATAAGGGAATCCAGTCCATATGCTATGGTTGTTGCGATAGCAAATCTTCGCTACCGATATTCGAGACCTTGAAATACAAATCGAGAGAACAAATCGATAATGATATATATCGATATTCTTCAATTGTATCCATAATGCAAGGAAGCGATAGATTTAGTTGATTTAATGTAGATACTATAGTAGTTACAATTAGTGAGTGGTAAACTAAACACTCTTACTCAATGCGGATTGGAGGGTATTAACGACTGCAAATGCAGTCGGGACGAACGCTTTAACATGCCTTACGAAGTGAGGAGTAGCTCAAGATAATAATTTTTGTTCACCCATCCCGTGGACGACCCTTGCCAAAGTTGCTTAACAACAACAATCGTGGGCCACAGCGCATATCCACTACCCAATAATTACATATTATAAATAGGTAATCTGGTTGTCTTCAACAATGTACTTGCTTAAAAGTACATTATTGAAGACAACCATCCATTTCATTGTAAACTACCCTGTTTATGGCAAAGAATTATTATACGTATTTTTAATTAGGTTCGTTTTAACGATATTCTACAGTGACACAGAGTCAAAGAAATTTAATTACAGTTCTAATACATAATTTATTATACCAATTATTTCTGCTATCTTAAAATATTAGATACGTATAGAACAAGTATACGTATAGAAAAATATTAGTTACCTATTTTTTTTTTGTTTCAATTCAACTAAAAATTGTTTAAGCCACTTGTCTGGTAATAGTCCATAGTACATTGAAGTTAAATGACGCATTTAAGCACTAATTTATGTTAAATTTGTATAGGTAATTTCGCTTTATAATAATAACAATTTTAATGTATGTCTGTGCAACTGGCTGTTAATTAATAGGCATTGAAGTTGACGAGTGGGGGCTCGACATGTAACTGCTATGTAGAAAATGTATAAAGGCGTGACGTCATGCGACATTTCAACTCAATGTATCGCTGTAATTTATTGATATACGTATAAAAAAAATACGTGTTTAATAATCTTCAATAATCTACCTGACGGACAAACACACAAAAATTAGTCGTCATCCCTATTTCCCATTGTCAATATTGTAAATAAAAATAAATAAATACTAGACATCACATACATTGCTCAGATTCTAAAATGAGTAGCTAAAGAAGACCTACCCTGTCTCAGATATTTCATAATACGGGGAGTATTAGCTTACACAACACCAGGTTAAGAGCCAATAAAGGAGTCCTTTTTTTATTGACTCGACCGGGAATCGAACCCGGAACCTCTGACATGGTGACACCTGAAACTGGCGTGCGAACCAGTCGGCTACGAAGTTCGGCCTATGTATTGTATGTATTATAAATGCGAAAGTAACTCCGTGTCTGTTACGTTTGCACGCTTGAACTATTGAACTAACGAAATTTACTACACGGATTGAATGACTGTTAGAAATACCATAGAATTTTCGCCACAAATATTTCACGTAAAGTCAGTCGTTACTAATTTATATCATACTATTGATTCTCAAAGCCTTGATTCTATCACGTCATAAAACTATCTCAAAACATTGCCGTCTCAACAACTCTGCTAGAGATGAGCTGTGTGGCAATAGGAATGGAATATTCCAGTATAAAGCCTAAACTGTAAAGGTTTTGCTTCACAAATACGAATAAAATCTTCCATTAGTGCCACATTCCCGAATACTTTCAAAGTTAACTAACTTTATTGGCTTTCTTCTAGGAATCGGGACGCTTTAGAAATTATAGAAATTTCATATCTCTATTTATACAGGTACATTTTGGTAAAAAAAGTGTCTATCTGAATATAGTTTGTGTCAAATCATGCTTTTTATTATGAATCTAAACTTTAAATGTCATTTTTATTATTATGTACTTGATGTTCTATATAATTTTTATCAATAAAAATCTATATCCTTCGCAAATATTTCAACAAAAACGATAAAATATTTTTTCAAACAGAACTCATAGCTTAAAAGACTATCATCCTACTACACGATAAAATTAAGAGAAACAAGTTGTATTATAACTTGGCTTAAAATAATTCTTATTGCAGTCGGGGTAACGTTCTGTATGAACATTTGCAATCAAAGATGTGTGATGTGATGTCGTGTAATAAATTAATATCACCATATTGTTTTATAATATAAACGCACGAATCAATTACAATATAAACTGCCAACAATGTTCTTTGTTTGTTACGGAATTACAAAAAAGTACGTGATGATTAGAAAGAAAATTTGGCAACGTAAAGGGGCTTATTGCCACAGACAGTTTGGCAATGATCGCGAGTATTGAACGTTGTATTTTATCTGAACGAATTAAAGTGTATAATCCGATGACCGCACCGGAAGTTCCGA